TCAACTCTCCCCACTCCCACAAAGGAGAGCAGGTGGAAAGTTTTGCATGATGGTTTTATGGTTTTAGCAACATTAACATTGGATTTGATGGCATCTCATACAATGATAATTTATTTTTATCTTCCTTTTAATAATCAAGCTATGCTGTCAGACTTTTTTTCCCATTTATAAAACAGTTTTTGACACGAGTATTTTTTTTTTTTCTTTCTTCTGAATGTATACCAAGACAATGTAACACTGAAGAAAATAATTAGAAGTGACACTTTGAATGTGGGAGTTCAACACTTAATATTGACAGCAAGCAATTAATGTAGCGTCGTGGAGTAACATTATTATTTGTTGAATTGCGCCCTCGCTAGTTTACTTTGGATAAGGGAGAGCACCTTGCACGGACACGTCGGGCGCCATGAAAAAAGAGAACTCAGAAGGAGTCATAGACATTCTGTATCATGAAATTTCATATCCCTGACTCCACAAGTGTCGGTAATCATATTATGAATAGTTATTCTATATTTGGGTCTTGTGGGGGGTTAGGGGACATACGTAAGCATTATTTCAGGGGGGTTTAAAAAAACGTAGGTTTGGATTGCATGCACGCGTGTTTACTTGCGTTATGTGCGTTGTACATGTACATCATGTAAGGTATCATTGTGCATTGTGCTTAAGGTGATTTATCTTATTTTTTTCCTTTCATATAGTGAACCTCAGTTACTCGCTCATTCACAATGATGGTATGAGGCGCAAGATCGCTAGATGGCATCATTTGAAGTTTGTCGAATAAACAAATGGTGGATGAACAACTGCAGAAGTCTGCATGGTGTATAATTTGAGCGTTCAGACATGGAGAAATTTATATGTGACAGTTACAAATAACATTCATGAACAATATTCTTCACAAAAGAAAGAGCAAAAGAAAATGAAAGATGAAGTAGACAGAGCGACTTGTGAAGTCTTTTCTGGGCTCAAGAAAAACTTTTTGATTTCAATAAAAAATTTGTCAAGAGAGCATGGACAGCACGCCTTAAGGCTGGCTCGTACTCGGCGCAAAATTGTGACATTAGATCAAATATTTGTGCTGCGAATTTACAAATGCTGAACATTATTCCAACTTCCGTGAATTTCGCTACAAACATTTCTCACATCAAATTCACTTGAATTTCTCTGCAAACATTTCTCACATCAAATTCACTTGAATTTCTCGGCAAACATTTCTCACATCAAATTCACTTCACTTTTGCATTTCACCAGCAAGTATGTACTGGCCTTTCAATACTGAGCAGGAACCCGGGGGGCAATTTTTCTGTACTCACAGCAGCTGCAATCATAGGGGGTTCTAGAATGTTGAAGACAGACGCCATACAAACAATAAAGTAGGCTATTGTTCCAATAACGCTGACCAGAAAATCCTGCAGCAAAATCAGACAAAGGAGGTCGTAGGAATGAAACCGAGGTTTTGTTTGCCTACTGAAAAACAAAACAGACTTTCTGCCTCATTTCAGTTAGTAAGCAGTCCTGGTTTTACATTTATAATCCCTTAGCCGTCCCAATTTTATTTACATCAGTGTTGCGATTTTTTTTTCTCTTCAATTCTGTGGCCCATATGCATTACACTCTGCCACTCTGCAGAATCACTGTGTACATTACAAGTCCACAGGTCAAACCTTAAGGAAATAAATTCTCTTGTTGCGAGATTGTAAAAAATCTTTTCCATGATGAGAAGACTATCCTAGAAAAAGCTGTAAGAACCCTTTTGTACTGTATCCACTCACCCTACAAGGATTCTAGGTTGTAATTAAGTGAGGTACCGTGAAAAAGAGTTTCTTCACTTGAGGACTCACTTGGGCCATTTCGGTACCCTGTACTTTAATTCTAAATTGATATATTTGAAAAATTGTAATTGGCGAGTCTAACAGGTTTGGGAGTTTGGCTGACGAGGGGAGGGAGAGAATGAAGGCTGACACAGTGGTACTTCCCTTGCCCTCTAGGTCTGGTTTGAATCCAAACTAGATGGACACAGAATTGGGGGTTTGGGGTTTCCCTTCTGTCTTTGCACAGACCTTTTTTTTCATTGTCTCTGCCTTGAGGTTTGCAAGCTTATACAGTCATGGACGGGCATCCTTTGAGAAAAGTGATCTCCATCCGAGGGTGTCAAGAGGGTCATACAAACTGTGTCACAGGGATAGAATATAAGTCACCTGATACATGAGAATCCCCAGGTCTGTGGGACAGCCCCCTAATAATGGGAGGAGTCGAAACAACAAATGGGAGGCTGCATTACTACTACACAGCAATGGCTACTCACGAATAAATAAATGTTTATCCTTGTGATGTTCCTGTCCTTTGAAAATGCAAAGACGATGAAGAGACCCACGCTCAAGAACAGACCGCAGAATATAACGACCCCGAAGAAGATGCTAGTGATCGAGGGGCCTGCAGCTATGCACAGTATGAAGGCAATGAGGGACCAACCCTGGAACAAAGAATTAAGGCAACATTTACCCTACTCCCAACTCCTCCCGAATTCTCCTTGCTCAGCTCCCGGATTTCCTTTGGTTGATTACAAACAATGCTCTGTATTAACATCTTGGGCCAGATCAAAGATTGTATAGCGCTGCATAGCGGTGCAAGATGGAGAACTTCACCGTGAATATGCATAAAACGTAAATGGGTGCCATTTGAGTAGGCAATACACCAGTGCAGTGCATGTTAATGCAACAGGCGCAGGTGCTGCGAGAGGCACACCCACCTGGGGTGCCTGTACCTAATACATGCACTTGCACTGCGCAGGTATATTGCTTGCTCGAATGGCACCCATGGTGATTACATCTTGTGCTGCTATGCGGTGCTATACAATCTTTGGTCCAGACCACATTGTTTGTACTCAATACGGGCGATTCACAATAGTTCGCCCCCAAGAGTCTGCAACACATTGGCCAATCACAACTTGTGGAATTTGTCGACCCTTTTCGCACACGCACTGGATCGACAGATTTAGTGCGCTGTGATTGGCCAACACGTTGCAGACTCTTTGTGGCGCACTATTGTGAATCACCCATATTGTGCATAAATTTTGGCATGCTGTAGATTGTACTAGAACTTTTGAACCAGGAGGTGCAGTGCAAACAAATGGAGAATGCGCGCAGGTTGGTTCACACTCTGGTCCTCGCACTAATGCCTTTTATATGTACACACAATCTGCATGTGACACACATCAGTACTCTATATGGCCTCAACTTTTGGTTAATTTCCAACGATGCACTCCACTGACATCTTGGACCAAGCCTTGTGTTATTTAAGCTCAGCCATGCACAAACTGATCTGCCCTGCTGAATGATATATCAATCGCACTGCCTCAACACATTGACGGTTATTACTGATGCTGAGAATTCCAAAGGACTGAGGCACCTCCAAGGAGTGGACTCAAGAAATCACAGAGGATTGGGGGGGGTTGAAGCTACATTCAAATTTAAAAAGGGGTAGTGGAGATTTTGCAGGATAGTAAAGTTGGAAGCTAGCAATAGCAAACAGGCCAAGGAAGTTAATTGTTACAGAAATACACTCAGCTCCTGTGCAGAAGCTCTGCCACAAACATTCCTTAATTCCTGCAAAACTTTCCACCGCTTAGGAACTTGGTGAAAAGCCTAACTGAACTTTCAAAACCGATATCCCTAAGCCTTTTTTCCCAGATACCCTCCTCAATCCTTCAAAATCCTCTGATTACTGAAGCAAAACTTGCCTTTAGCCCTAATCCTTCAATACCCTACAATATTTCTTGTATATACGTGTATGTATGTTCCTTTGAGAGGTGCCCACTGCCTCAATCCAACATCTTCTGGCAATTCCTGACATTGTGTTGAGGTAGCGCGAATGGTATCTTAGAGCGGTATGGATGATTTCATGTATGATCTAGATAAGAATTTACACGGCTGAGCATAAACAACACATGGTCTAACCCACAACCTTGACAATGCATCCTTTGCACTCCACAAACTGGTTTACCATTCCTCCTCAATCCTCCAAAATCCTTCAAATTAACCCAGAGGATTTTGGAGGTTTGGGAAGGGTAAGGGTTAAAGGTACATGTATCAAGCTCAGTGCCACATAACAGTGGCCCAATTTTGACTTCAATCCTTCAAAATCCTGGCAAATTTTCAGGTGGGTTTTGACTTCTGAAAGATCTGAGAAGGTGGATTCAACCATTTACTTTGGCTATTAAAATATCAAGAATTTGGCATCAAAATGTTAAGATAAAAGTGGAAATTATTGAAGCATTACTTCCCAATGACCAATTGCTTTAAGGTCAATTTATAAAGCAAGGCCAGGAACAGTAGTGTCAGTGAACTTCTCAAATTATGGGCAGTCTTTCACAAAATATCAAAGAAAACTATGGTCTTATGGTTAAAGTTCATAAATCCAGTACAGTGCATGAAAATATCAATGTACAAAATTAGCAGCAGGCAAATTTTCTAAGGAAATGATCTATTTCCAGGCCTATAAATTGATACAAATTTTAAAGAGGCCATACGCGAGGAGAAACAAAGACAGTCTGGAGGGATTTAACCTACCATCATCTTGGCTTTGAGCACACCATTGATGGATTTGACATAGCTCATGTCCATGCCACACTTGCGTTCGGTTTGGCCATCCCCAGCTCCAGCCCCGCCCTGCTCTTTGTTTTCCATGGCTGATGTTCCCTTGAACCCACGTGGAATTCCTGTGACAGGTTTAGGACAAAAATGTACAATGAAGAAGGAAGAAAACCTGTGAATATGTTAAGTGGTTTTAGCAGACAGTTAAATTTGTTAGTACATTTTTATGATTTGGTGTGGCCCCTTTACGGCTTTCGCTGTTTGACCTCTTCTAGGAGCCTTACTAGGCCTACTAAAGGCTACTTGTGACTTGGCCTAACACTAACAACACTTTTACCTGAAAATTGCACAGTAAGTAAAATTTGGTCAAGCTTTCAACATTCTGATTCATAAATCTTGAGTTAATGTAGCCACTACAAAATTACAATGAAATTTGATTTGGGGCTGATTTTCCAATTCATTGTTTTCAAAGTACAAAAATGAACTCATTTGCACTCCACAATAAGAACGTACTTTCTTACAATCTTGCAATTGGACATGTGAATTGAGATAATGATTTAATATGAATGTGGGATTTTCCAAGATTTGTTCAAATACTAGTATCAAAGCTGAATTTGCGCCCAATTTGTTGGCACTACCGTCTCTGATTTCAGACCAATTTCACGACACTGAAATTGTTTACAAAGGTTCAACATTATGCAGGTGTCAGCAATTAACTGACATGAAAGAGGTTTGAAAACATTGCATGAGATACATGAGGAAAGTCAAAGAAAACATTTGAAATGCAAATTGGCGGCTTATTGCATTGGTCATGTTGTTAATCTGTGAGCCTGTACTTTTGCTGTAACAGTCAAAAATTCCTTCCACTTGATTTGCCACAATTTCTAAGAAATTTTGACTTTTTCACATACATGTACAGAACTTGCAGGAATGCTTTCAAATGCTATCTGCAAGAAAAATCCCTTTTCTCTCTACCGCTCAATCTCGCACCAGGGAAAATAAAGTTTTGAAAAGAAGACAGATGCGATGTAAACTGGGCAGAAAAATCACTGTTGCACAATAGGGACTACATTATGAGTACATCATGCAAATGTGTGTGCACTTGGGTCTACCTGTCACGGCAAAATGCCTGGCAGAACATCCGGAAAGCTCTGTGGACTTTAAAACTTAAGGGTTAAGGTAATTACATCATATCACTAAACGGTTTTTACCAATGAATTTCTTTAGTTTCAAGCTAGAACTGTGGGGTCTGACGTCGTTCATGGGAGCGGGGTGGACGTTCGACCCTACAGTTGGGGTAACAACCATGACAACGCACTTGTCTCGTGAACAACATTCATGACATTTGAGCTGCCTCTGCCATGTAAAAAATGTGAGGAAAAACCGTTGAAAAAAATGTTGCTGTGGCAGAAAGACTTTACAACCTGGACGTTAGTCGCAATGCAATGTTGTCAACGTCCACTGCACTACTGTGAGTGGCTAGCAAGTCAAGTACTAGTACTAGCATGACTAGTAGTACTAGTACACGTCAAGCACGTATACATGTACATGTACATCATGTATGTACTTGCTCAAGCACGCGAGATCTTTTTATAACGTTAGGCTTAACGTAAGTTTTGAAATCAAGAGAAAAAATTGAGTAAGGAATGCCTCAAGCTGTTGATATTATGATGCTTTTGGCTTAATTTTGCTGAGTTTGGGGCAACATATTATGAGAGAAAGACGATTTTTCGAGCCCACCTACCTAATTATTGATCAGTGATCCACTCCCCACCGTCAAATGTCTTGCTAGCGTCCAGACGACCCCCGTAAGTTGGGTATAAATTGAAACGACAAGCTAGAGGGACCTGCCTAGGAAACGCGCGAACCTAGAGCCACCGAACGGGGGCGCGCTTTACGAAACTTGTTTAAAAAATCAGATGTAGCTACTGGTACGTCTATTGTCTCTGCAAGTCTGCGTATTCCAACAAAAAAGGCCTAAATTTCCCTTATCGTGACAGTAGCCCCAATTCGACTGACTGCTATATTTTGGATCGGTGATTCAACTCGTTAACAACTTTTGTGTTAAATGCTTTCAAATGCTCCAGCTTGGAAAAAAAGACGTGAGTCCACCAATCAGAAACTATAAACAGACATTAACAAGCTGGCTGGTAGCGGAACTTGAGCGCTTTTTTTGTATGCAAGCGCAAGTGCTTATTGTCGTAGAGTTTATATAGGCCATAATATAATCATGTAAAGGGCGGCTTAAACGCAGCATAACAACTTGAAAAATTATACAAAACAAGCCAAGCCACTAAGTATTAAATTCAGTTTATGGAAGTGCTCTGTCTACTTTTACACGTGACTATTATCCTTTGGCCTATGCGTCGCAGTCCTGTTTGCTACTATGAAACCGTATGCCCAGCCAGCCTTAGGCTTAATCTCCGCTCTTAATTTTGACTTTAATCGGTTGAGCCTATTCGGCTAAAAAGGACTGATGAGGCAGATTGGAAATGATGGCTTCCGTAATACCCACACGTTCCCTCCAGGTAATGAAATAAACCTTTTCTATCAACCGGCCACACTGCATGCAACCCCAAACATTGGTCGCAATGCGCCTGGTAAAAGAGACCAAATAAATTTGTGACGTTGATGTACGCGCGCGCTTGCGCGTTGCCCAGCTGCGCTTGGCCAGCCCTATGTTTGTAAACAGTACAAGTACACCACTGCACTGTGCATGGCCTGGTCTTCATATGAAGTGTAGCACACACAAGGATCAAGAGCTGGAGTGGTAATAACTTCCCAGTTTCAGAATAAAACTGATCACCGGGCCTATTCTATTTTTGTGAGATTGTTAATTTCAAACTTCGATAAATCTACTGGGAAAATATCGGATAAATAGTTCGTATTCACGGGCTAGTGACGCCACAGCATCCATCGTTGGCGGATTCACCGAAACTTGTAGGAGAAAGGCACACGCACGCTTGTACTTCTCTCAGTCCGAATCGGAATTACACATCAAAAATAGACTCTGTTTCAGGTGATAAAATATCAAAGATAAAACCCATTGAAGGTGTTAACATTTATGTGATTTAATTATTACACGATTATATTACATTTTTGTTAGGCCTAGTACACTACGGTTTTTTTTTTCTTACTGGTATGCGAATATTACTTTCTAATGAGTTTTCGTTAGCACGATGTTTTCGCTCGTTTGATGGGCTGTTTGTGTTTGGTTCTTAAACGGATCTTCTGCATTTTGTTTAGTTTTAACTTTTATTTTATCTTACTCTTTAAAAATCCTATTATACAACCACACAACAAGTTATCAATTCGAGCAAAAGTACGGTAACATGACGTCGCACACGTACACAGGATGCGCTTTTCTAATTTTCTGACATCCGGCACGTATGCACCAATAATCCTTGCGCCCGCCGACACGTAAACTTCGTTAAGTTGAAATGTCTTCAGATGAACCGGAGGCCCGTGTACACGCGCGCCATCGATTGTTGACGAGTGCTCATTGGCCAATATATCACTTTTGCACTAAGTTGCCATGACGTCACGCTAATTATGAATGGATTGTGAGGTCTATGGTACTATGGCAACACCATGGATGTGAACACCATACCCATGTGTTTAAGTTAGTCACCATATCTGAGTCACGCTCCGCGAAGCAAGTCATTTTTTTGCCCGGAAAAATTACACTTTAAAGAAAAAAATCTTCTGGCGTGTTGCTCGTTGAAAATGCCGACTAACCTTTTATCCGGATGTTAGATTCAATTCGCGCCGAAAGACTGGAATAAAAGCAGTTTGCCGTCTAAAACCAAAAGCTGTACATCTCACGAAGTCAAGGTAAGGCTGTGCAGACAGTACAATACCACAATGTACATGTACATGTACAGGCCTGTGTCGAGAATGAAGTCATGCGGTACAGTGGACATGGCAACGGTAAGTTACGAACTTTTATTGTAACTGTAGTAAGTAAAGAAGTAGGCCCGGGATAATTTCTTTCTTTTAAGAAGTTTAGACTTGAACTAGGTCAGTCCTGTTGTGTTCTGGAAAGTTCTCAATATGTAAATCTTCAGCGTAAACATTGACTTCAGCTTCGAACACAACTACTACTAGGCCCAAGATCAGTGTCAATTGAACTAGTGTTGTACAAAGGCCTGTAGCCTCCGAGAACGAAACCAGGTCCCCCAGGTATACGGGCAACAGAAGAAACGAGAGATGAGAAAGGAAAAGAAGATGACAGAAGAGGAAAAGGAATAATAAAGGAAGAAGAAAAAGACAAAACAAGAAGACAGAATGCAAAGGAAAAAGAGATGAAACCCAAAGGAAAGAAAGATGACAGAGAAGGAAAAAGAAACACCGAAAGAGGAAAAAAAAGAACAAAAGAGAACATAGATGAAAAAAAGGAGAAAAGATGATGAAAAGGATTAAAAGAAGAGAAGAAAAGTAAAGACAGAAAAAAGAAAACTGTCATCAAGAAAAGCTGGAAAAAAACAGGGTTCCCAGGAAGAGCAGTGTCGTGTGTCGATGCTGATGGGTCTACGCACGTGGTGGTGCCTATACCCTGATTAAAGAAAAACAAGAAGAATAAAAAGAAACAGAGAGAAAGAAGCTTATTAAAGAAGACAGATGGAAAAAGGGAGGAAATGCCAAAAAGAAAAGAGACAATGGCAAAGAATAAAAGGAAGTAAGAGAAAGGATTAAAAAAGAAAGATAAAGAGCAGAAGTAGAAGAAGAAAAAAGCATTTTTATTTAAACATCACTGAGGAATTGACAAGGAAAACAACAGCAAGCAACTAATGGGGAACAGGGTTCAACACTGAGTCTGAGGTATACCAGTGCTTATGCCTTTGAAGAGGAAAAATGGAAAAAGAAGAAAAATGGAAAAAAAATCTGTACTATAATAATACTTGTCCAAGAGCCTGATGGAGTAGGTCAGTTTCAACTGAAAATTTGAATGTGACTAGTTACGAGTAACCATTCATGATGTCATGGTTACTTCAACTTGTAACTTTTTGATACATACATGTACTTTCCTGAAAGTGATATCTACATGTACATGTATGTCGGGTAATGGTGAGTTTATTCCATCATTCTTATTTCCTGATAATTTGTTTGTAGATTTCAAAAAATTAATCACAAAATAGAATTAAAAGGTACTTAAATGATAAACAACTGAGAATATCAATGTAGGACTATAATGTAAATAGTTGTTTACTTAGAATGGGAAGGTGGACTGGTGAATTATTCATATCTATATTTCAGTCTCCAAATAAGTGAAGGAAATTAAATTTTTTCCAGTTCACTTAACAGTTCACACTAAACATATAACAATTTTAAACGTAAACCAAAGGAAAAATTACGGTTTGTATTTTAGTTCGCAGAGAGAGGTACGTCTGTTTCATACATTTCACAA